CCCCCCCCCCCCCCGCCCCAAGAAAGTGACAGTGCCTCAGAAAAGCTCCATTTAGGGAAACTGCTTAAAAATCAGGCACTAAATTAGGCAGGATCAGACTACAAATAAGCTAGGCAGTGGGAAAAATCTTTAGCATGAAGCAGGCTTTTGTCCTCCCTCCCTTCTTCCCAGTAACGCTTTTAAAAACTCTTTGAGAATTTCATACGTGTATATGATGTATTTTGGTTATATCCATCCTATCCTCCACTCCTTCCCTGCTGCCTCCTACTTTTACTGTACTGTGAGCACAGAGCCCTAACAAGGTATGTGTCATGTCATGCAAAAAGGTGGCCCAGGGCTCTAATTACAACATCACACATTAACAAAGCTATGGCCTGTATCACATTTGGGGAGGTTCCTCCATCTTTCTTAAAGTAAAAAGGTGATCTATCATCCAGTCTTACCTCCCAGTCCAACCTGCACCACAGGGACACAGAGCCCAAGTAATCAATTTATAGCAGAGTGGCCTCTGCTGGAACAACTGCTTTCTAAAACACCTGAGCAAGACTCTCCAGAGCCTGGCCTTGTGGTTGACATATAGAACATAAATATTTAAAACTCCTTAGCTCTCTTAGAAATAGTAACAACAAACGAAGAAAATGATTCTATTTCTAAATACTTCTCCAGAGACACTAATTCATCCTTCTCAGAGGCAGCAAATCACACTGTATGGATGTGAGGTTAGCCATAGAATCAGTCATATCCCCACAAATGCACATCCTCCCATGTCTTGGGACCAAGCCCAGGAGAAGGCGCACCCATCCAGGGCCCAGCATGTCCTGTGGGAGGTGCAGAGCAAGCTCTTAGGAGCAAGGGCTTACCTGCAAAGTCCTTGACGTTAACATCTGCACCCTCACTGATGAGCTCCTTGATGCGACGGGCATCCCCTCTGATGGCTGCTCGGTGCAGGCGGGTTTCTCCTCGCTCGTTTCTCTTGTTTACCTTATCTTTGGTTTTTGAGGCGGAGTTGGGCGTCCCCTTCTGACACACGGTAGACTGGGAAGGGTGCTTTGGTGTTGTGTCTACTGCAGGCCAAGGAGGAGACAGGTAGGGCATTACAGGAGACAGCTTTGCTTCATGGGAACTTCAAGAACCCAACCAAGAAAGGGGACCCACTAAGCTCAGCCAGGCCTCCCAGTCCCAGGGACCACTTGGTGCCTAGGGCTCACCTGGGCTATTTGCAGACTCTTCAGCAGTCATCTGCATGAGCAGAGCCACCTGCTGACGCTCAGAGAGGGGGTAGCCGGCTCGGATCCCAGACAGCCCCATGCCGAACAGCAGCCCGGACTTGCGGGCAACAGGCTCCTTCTTGATCCTCTTCCGCTCAGGACCCTGCTTCTCTGTGTGGCAGGTGAAGGAGAAAGGGAGGGGAGATTTCATGCCCAATTCTCAGAGCTGGATTCTTAACTAATGTTATGGAGCCCCTCTGCATTCCACCCGACAGCTTACAGAGCAACAAGGAAGGCCTGTGAGGGGAAGTGACAGCGCTGGGAGCACTGATACCACCCACTGTAGCTGTGAGAGACACAGTGTAAATGCCTGTTGTCAGCCCATCAGGTCTAAGTCTTGGCCTCCACCAACCATTTGCTCCCTGCAGGCGCCACACACGAAGGCAGTAAATAGGATGGTTCAACACCACTGACCTGGCCCACATGGGACAGGTCTCTATTAATACATGTGTCTGCAATTAAACTCCTTCCCAGCCCTCCTCCAAACAAATAGTGCAGATATAAAATGGCAGACACGGTTTAAGATATGTAAATAAATCAAGGCCAACTTGTCAGTACTGTACCTTTCTTCTTGCTTCTAGGAACCTCCATTTCATGCCATGGTGCTTCGAGGACCGTACCAGCCTTGCAGTACCACAACATGGACTGAGCTGGAGGCATCTAAAGGCATCAACACAGAGCACTAACAAGAACGATGTAACAGCTCAGCTGTTCCATCTTAACCGCCTCCTAACAAGCAAGTCCTGGGTGCCTCTGACCAGTGACAAAATACTCTGCCAATTTCTACTGGAAAGACTGTGTTGCTTAAAAGAAGTGGGGTATGGAGAGAAACCCCAGAGTCCATGATTAAGGAGCATAGAGGCTCACTTTGCTGCTTGCCCAGCAGGAGCTCTCTTGTGATAACCAGGGGCAAGCCTCTGGGTCCTCCTCAATGTCCCCTGGTTCTAGTGAAGCCCCTGAGCAGGGCCATGCTGGGTTGAGTGTTTCCCAGGTCACAGGGTCCAAGATTTGCCATGGCCAGGCAAGGGGACAGAAGGTTACTAAGGAGGTACTACTCAGGCTATCTTGGCAGCAGTTCTCCTTCCTTCCTTCCTTTCCATCCCATATGTCAAGAAGCCCCTCTCTGCAGGAATAAATGGGTTTTTGCCTCCCGTGTCTGACTCTAGAAGTGGGCAACACTTCTAGAAGTGTTGTAAGAAAATAGTGGGTCACATGGCTATCACTGAAGCCTCTGGTCTTCAGCTGGCCTCTTCACTGGGCTACACCACCATTCCTCCCTCTCTTCACCTCAGGCCCCATGATCACCCTCTGTCATTTTCCTATTGACTTCCGACAAGACACCTACTAGTTCTTCACAAGTATTACAGTCTGCCTTTTAAAAAACAATTTATGGTTTGATGATTTACGAGTTTCTTAATGTGATAAGCCTAGAGGTAGTGACATCCACCTGTTTTGCAACTCACGGCAAAACTCCCTAAATACTTCAGGCCACCACCAGCTAGTTTTTAAACAAGCCGTGACATACAAATTTGAGAAAGGAAGAAATATAAATATGATTAGAACAAAGTCTCAGAACCCCACTCCCCAAAGACTGTACACAGTGTGGTAAGACTCCTGGTGATAAGTGACATTTACTAGTTACATTTAATAACTCCAAGAGTCAAAACCAAGTGGTCAGCCCTGCTTCTGTGTAGTATGTGGATGGCATGGTGCAGGTCAGAATGTCTTCAGATTACAAAGCATAGCTTTTTTATTTTAAAGTTTGGGAATATATTGAATCTCCTGTGCTGAAACGAGCCTCCCACCTCTACCAACTAAGTAATAGGTGGTATGTTTTGTTTTGTTTGAAATAAGGTCTCATGTAGCCCAGGCTGGCCTCAATTCCCCCATCCCCCGCCCCTCTCCTGCCTCCATCTCCCAAGGAGTGGGATTACATGCATGCACCGCCATACTTGGCTAGCAGGTGTTACTTTTAAGATATCAAAGGCAACTAGGAAATGTATCAGGTGGGGGGCCTGAGTCACCTGCACTCTTTAAAAGGTCATTAGAAGGCTTCAGTGGGAGCCCACCTTGGGTTTCCCTTGTAGAGAAGCTAAGAACAGTACACAGGCCCTTCCCATCCTGCAGAGCAGATGCTACCAACCATAGGATACAGTGTGAAGGGGTCCAAAGTCTGGGCTTCAGATACATGTAGTATCACCAGGACTCTGCTCTTGTCCCTGCCCCATCTGCCTCCAAGAACTCACTCCCGGAGCATAGCAAACGTCTCACACAGCTATCTCATGCCTTTATCAGACTTTTACCTGTCAAAAGGAGGGAGGTGGGGGAATTGGAAGTATGATCTCCTAAAAGACCAACCTCTCTACTGTAAATGTAACTTTCTCTAAGTATATGCAACAACGGGTACCCACAGGGCCTACTTTTACTCTCTAGCCTCAAAGGCCAGCAAATCCTAGTGCACACCAGGCTGAGACACTGCATCAGGTTTCTGGAGTAAAAGGTGAGCACTAAAGAAAACCCTCAAAAAAGACTCTGAAAGTGCAGCCATACTCCATGGCTCAGAGCACACCCAGGTTTAATGTGTCCAAGAACAGCTAAGCTACCTGACATGGACACAAGCTGTTCTGCAGACACTGCTGAAAGCAAGATATGCTGCAGGCACCTGTCCAACAGATGCTGCACAGCCACTATCGCAGCTGTACCCTGTCTGCTGAAGGCAAGCAGGGCAAGAAGCAGGAAAAACCCCTAGGGAGTTCCTCTGAGATATCGCTGATTTTCTGTTTCTATTATCTAAATGGAAGCCAAGTAGACTTTATATGAATTCCAAATGCTATCTGCTAAAATGATAGGCAGAACACTGACAGGTCCAAGAAGAATTCAGTCTGTGCCATAGTGAATAAGTGGCAGGTGGGGATCACAGGTATGTAATGAGCTTATGGAAGGGCAGCATGGGAAAGTTGCCAAACAGGGCCCAAGAGCCCTTTTTAAACTGTGCTCTTTAGGCTTTGATAGAGCCCAAGGGCAGAAGGTCAGAAAGAATAGAGAATGGGAAAATCTAGACTCAGGACCCTGTCAACACTCAGGGTCCCAACCCTTCATGTTTCCTGGCAGTCCCATTGTATGGAGATCTCAGCTGTGGCACTCTTCTTGGCAGACATGAGCCTAGATGGCTCACCTGTTTCTCATCTTTAAAAAAAATATATTTTATGGGCCCGGGGGAGGGGGGGGTCGCACACGCCTTTAATCCCAGCACTTGGGAGGCAGAGGCCTCTGTGAGTTCAAGGCCAGCCTGGTCTATACAGTGAGTTCCAAGCCAGCTGAGGCTACAGAGAGGACGTTGGCTCCCTTGAATTGAACTTTTAAGGCTAGTTATTAGCTGCCGTGTGGGTGCTGGGAACCAAATCTGGGTCTGCTGCAAGAGCAGTGGGGTGCTAGTAATCGCTGAGTCATCTCTCCAGTCCCCTATTTCTCATCTTTAATGAATACGGGGATCGGAAAGTGCTCTGCTTTTCTGCAGTTATCTTTCTTTGCATACACAAGTCCCCTGCCAGGCCTTAACAGTAGACAGTTATGTTCTAGCACTTACTTGGCAAGTGCAAGACTCAAGGCATGCCTCCCTCCCAGCCTGTGGCTGAACCACCAGCTGACTTTCTTCTTCCCATCATGTGACACTGCTGGTGTGACATAGGGGGCAAGGTGGCAGCCTGTTTTACGTAGTTCTTTCCTGTCATTGCATCCACTGGTGGAAAGGTCTCTTAGAGACAGTGTTTTCTCATAGGAGGGACAGAAGATGCTTCCCCAGGAATAGATTTTAAGTGAAGGGGCAGCTCTGGCTGCTGGGGTGGCCTATGACTTCATCCACGCTGCTCAACAAGTGTCTTTTCTACTCATCCAATCACCACCTCCTCTGTGATGTTCAGGAACCTACAACTACTCATTTGTATCTAATACTTATTCTTTTCTGCTTCCTTTTACTTTCTGAATGGTTTCCCTTCACTCTTCTTCAGTCAGCCTTCCTCCCCTCTGCAGCTGAGATCCCATTAACCCTTACTTTCTCTTCTACATCTCACTTCTTTAAAATTCCCTTTTAGTCTATGTCTCAGTTCATGCAATTTCTTCAGCTATAATTTCAATTTGCTGACTATTCTGTGTGCACATGCATGTGGAGGTCAGAGGTCAACCTTGGGTGTTGTTCCTCAACCACATCTTGGCTTTTTTTTGGTATTTTTGAAGCAGGGTCTTCCTGTAGCCCCAGCTGTCCTGGAACTCATTATGTAGACCAGGCTGGCCTTGAACTCACAGAGATCCGCCTGCCTCTGCCTCCCGAGTGCTGGGACTACAGGTGTGTGCCACCATGCCCGGCTACATCTTGGTTTTTTGAGTCAAGGTTCCCACTGGCCTGGGATTTGCCAAATAGGCTAGGATGGCTGACCAGTGAGCTCCAGAGAGCCATTTATCCACACATGTGTCATCAAACCTAGCTTTTGTACATAGGTTCTGGGAATCAAATGCAGGCCTTCATGCTTGTGCAGTAAGCACTTAGCCCCACTGATTCTTCTTTAGGTTTTATCTAATAAACTATGTAGTCAGGTCACTTAGGTTTTAATTTTGGTGATAATTTTCATTTCCAAATGTTCCATTTGATACTTTAAAAAAAATCTACACAATCTTTTTTGATAGTCCAAAATGCTTTCTCCTAGTTTTCCATTCTGTCCACTCCAGAGTGTGTGATGCCTCTAAGGCCAACCCCTGCAGAACCTCTTGGAATAGCTTTCTTTCCTGTGGCCTATGATCATGTCAGGAGCTCAGGCTCTGCTCTGCTCAGGGTCCAGAAGCCTATGGTCTTTCCAGGGTGTATGGAAGCACAAATCCAAACGCAGCCCTACTAGAAGAGAGGGCAGGCCTCGGGGCAGAAGCTTTCTGACCTGGGCAACTGTCTGTAAAGACTGGGATCTTAAATGGAGATGAGGTCTTCCTTGACAGTGAGGTGTGTCCCGCAGATTTAGTCCTTTTGTGGGGATAATGTCCCATCCAAAGACTGGCTCCATCTAGGGCAGAGGCCCAATTCTGAGGCCTGGTAACCTGCTGAGTCATTAAACTTAACACAGTTC